TCTAATTCTATTGGCTTTCAAAAGCCAATAGGAATTGTCCAGGCTGTCTCTGCCCTGCTGAGCCCGCCAAAAGTCCCATTCTGCAAACGGTGCTGCACCAGTTGAGTAGTCCTCGACTTACGACCGGTTGGGGGGGTCGCAGCCTTAAAAAGGTTGAGAACCACTGTTCTAGTCCAACCCCCTGCTCAAGCAGGCGACCCTTACAGAACTATAGAATAACAAGGTTGAAAGGGACCTCAGGTGGTCATCTAATCCAACCCGCTGCTCAAGCATTGAGACTCTTGCAGAATCATAGAACAACACAGTTTGAAGGGGACCCTGGAGGTCCTCCAGTAAACTCCCCCCCTCCCGCGCTCAAGCAGGAGACTCTCACAGAATCATGGAATAACACCGTTGGAAGGACCTTGGAGTGGTCCCCCAGTCCAACTCACTGCTCAAGCAGGAGACCCTTACCGAATAACAAGAGTTGGAAGGGATCTCGGAGGTCATCTAGACCAGGGCTTTTCAACCTTTCCACCCATTGTACCACTTTTAGGATATGGCAACATCCGAGTACCACCAGTCGCCTAGCAAGGGGTCAAAAACCTGATGACCAAAAAAAAAAAGGGAAAAAAGTGATAAAGTACAGGTAGTCCTCGACTTACAACAGTTTGCTTAGTGACTCTTCGAAGTTACAATGGCACTGAAAAAGGTGCCCCCCAAGCCACAGCCGAGCAAGACACCTGCCTGGCCAACCGGCGGCGCTCTTCCTCCTGTCCGAGGTTTTCATTGTTGTGAGCATTTCTATTGAGGATTGGCAGCGGAGGTGGGGAGGGGGGTGTTTGGTTTTTATCCCCCCCATCTGCTGGGTGGTTGCAGCAGGTTTTGGTCACTTCACATGACCCTGGGACACTGTGACCATCATAAATACGAATCAGTTGCCAAGCCTCTGAATGTAAATCACAAGACCTTGGAGAGGCTGCAACATTCCAGCTGATCGGCGCTTCTTCTGGGCTCAGCAGAAGCACCAGGATCAGCGCTGAGCTCCATCTGGATCCTGGCGCTGATCCTGGCGCTTCCGCTGAGCCCTGACAGCCCCGAAGAAGCGCCGATCAGCTGGAAAGCAGCACTGATCCTGGTGCTTCCGCTGAGCCCTGACAGCCCTGCAGCTCCAGCCGTCTCTCGCTCAGGCTTGTGCGGTGCTGCCACCGGTTCAGTTCATTCCCCTCCCCCGCTACCCACTTTTCTAGGAGGGTCGCGTACCACCTGCCAGGTGCCAATGTACCACAGGTGGTACCTGTACCACTGGTTGAAAAGCCCTGGCTTAACATCTAAGCCCTGTTCTAGACATAATACAGGAAGCCCTCTCAACCTACGACCGTAATGGAGTCTGCTTGTGTGTCATCAGAGTCTTTTTATTTTATTTTATTTTTTTTTTGGAAAATATTTTATTAGGTTTTATAGAGGGGGAAGGGAGGGTCAACATAGGTAGTGGGATTCGGGGTAGGGTTCGAGGAAAAGGTTGGGGTAGGGGTAATTACAACAATGGGGTTACCCCCCCAAAAAAACATTTCACACTTTAGCAAGCTGGCTCAGGAATTCTGGGAGTTGAAGTCCACGAGTCATAAAAGAGCCAAGGTTCCCCACCCCTGGCCTAGATCAGTAGTAGGCAACCTTGGCTCTTTTATGACTCGTGGACTTCAACCCAGAATTCCTGAGCCAGCCATGCTGAGGGGAAAGGGAGAGGTTTCCAAGCTGAGCCATGCTGGCTCAGGAATTCTGGGAGTTGAAGTCCACCAGTCATGAATGGGCCATAGTTCCCCCATGCTGGCTCAGGAATTCTGGGAGTTGAAGTCCACCAGTCATGAAGGGGGCCATAGTTTCCCCCATGCTGGCTCAGGAATTCTGGGAGTTGAAGTCCGCAAGTCATGAAGGGGCCATAGTTCCCCCATGCTGGCTCAGGAATTCTGGGAGTTGAAGTCCGCAAGTCATGAAGGGGCCATAGTTCCCCCATGCTGGCTCAGGAATTCTGGGAGTTGAAGTCCACCAGTCATGAAGGGGGCCATAGTTTCCCCCATGCTGGCTCAGGAATTCTGGGAGTTGAAGTCCACGAGTCATAAAAGAGCCAAGGTTGCCTACCCCTGGCCTACACCAACAATAAACCCTAGTATCCTAAAAGTAAGCCCAATTTTGGGGCGAGGCACACACCTAAAAAAACCAAGCTGGGGTGGGGGGTGGGTGGAGCTGTCACACCTGCCTCGCATCTGCTTTCCTTGCAGCAAGGCCTCTCTTCACCGGCCCACTTCTTCTGAGGCCTCTTCTGCAGTCAGGCCTGCATTTCGCAGTCATAGGGCTTTCCTGAAGACCTCTGCAGCCAAGAGCCGAGCTATAGATTCAATCCATAGCTTGGTTCTGCAAGATCTTGGAAGCCGAGCACCAAGCTATGGATTGAATCCATAGCTCGGTACTCAGCTGCTTAGGCCTTCTGGAAAGGCCTAACTGCAAAATGCAGGCCCGAATGCAGGTGCAGAACTTCGGCCCCCAAAAAAGTGGACCGGCTGGGTGGGGCTGTCGATGCTGGAGGTGAGGTAAGACCTACTCAGGAAAAAAAGACTTGGTGCCTCTATTGGAAGCAAAATAAATAAAAATATTAAGAGCTGAGGTGGCGCAGCAGTTAGAGTGAAGTACTGCAGGCCACTTTAGCTGACTGTGTTCAGCAGGTCAGCGGTTCAAATCTCACCGGCTCAAGGTTGACTCAGCCTTCCATCCTTCCGGGGTAGGTAAAATGAGGACCCAGATTGTTGGGGGCAATGTAAATATATATATACATTGCTTACTGGTGTACACCGCTTAGAGAGTGCTTGCACTTAAAGCGGTATATAAGTCTCATAAATAAATAATAAATAAATAAAATAAGACCCGGTCTTATTTTGGGGTAAACAACGGTAGATGTGAGGTACACATCAGGTCCACACGTGAAGGTCCAATTCAACGAATGTATTGCCCCAAAGCCTGTGCATAGGAGTATTTTCAACTAACCATTAGCCTTTGGTAGGAGTCAGATACGGGTCAACGGAATTTAAGGGTGGGGATTGGACTTTGTGACTATGTAGTAGGGATTCTAGACCAGGGCTTTTCAACCAGTGGTACGGGTACCACCTGTGGTCCATTGGCACCTGGCAGGTGGTACACGACCATCCCAGAAAAGTGGTAGTGGGGGAAGGGAATGAGCTAAACCGGTGGCAGCACCGCACAAGCCTGAGCGAGAGACGGCTGGAGCTGCAGGGCTGTCAGGGCTCAGCGGAAGCGCCAGGATCAGTGCCGCTTTCCAGCTGATTGGTGCTTCTTCGGGGCTGTCAGGGCTCAGCAGAAGCGCCAGGATCAGCGCCAGGCTCCAGCTGGAACTCGGCGCTGATCCTGGTACTTCTTCTGAGCCCAGAAGAAGTGCCGATCAGCTGGAATGTTGAAGCCTCTCCAGGGTCTTGTGATTTACACTCAGATGCTTGGCAACCGATTCATATTTATGACGGTCACAGTGTCCCAGGGTCATGTGAAGTGACCAAAACCTGCTGCAACCACCCAGCAGATGGGGGGGGGAATAAAAACCAAACACCCCACCACCCCACCCCCACTGCCAATCCTCTTACTGTTGTAAGTCGAGGACTACCTGTATTTTATCACTTTTTCCCTTTTGCGGGGGGTCATTGTTTTTGCCACCTTGCTAGGCGACTGGTGGTACTCCGATGTTGCCATATCCTAAAAGTGGTACAATGGGTGAAAAGGTTGAAAAGCCCTGTTCTTGACCAGGAGTAGGCTACCTTGCCTCTATGACTTGTGGACTTCAACTCCCAGAATTCCTGAGCCAGCCACGCTGAGGGGAAATGGAGAGGTTTCCATACTGAGCCATGCTGGCTCAGGAATTCTGGGAGTTGAAGTCCACGAATCATCAAAGAGCCAAGGTTGCCTACCCCTGCCCTAGACTGATGCCTCTTTTAAGTCTGCCTCCAGCTTCTGCCACTCCTTCTCCTACAGTAGCCTAACTACAGGGTTATCGGGGTCTTTGCCATCTGGAGAACCTCAATTTTCTGGGAGGTTTTCTTTTTAGAGAAGACAGAGGCAGTAAACCAGGGATCTCTAACCTTCGAAACTTTTACGACTTGTGGACTTCGTCCCAGAATTCCACAAGTCTCAAAAGTTGCCAAGTTTGGAGACCCCTGCTCTAGATCAGTGGTTCTCAACCTTTTTAATGCCGTGACCCCCAAACGGTCGTAAGTCGAGGACTACCCAACCGGTCGTAAGTCGAGGACTACCCAACCGGTCGTAAGTCGAGGACTACCCAACCGGTCGTAAGTTGAGGACTACCCAACCGGTCGTAAGTCGAGGACTTTCCTTGCCCGGGAGAGCCGCGCATGCGTGGTGCCGCCCCCTGCGCCAGCCGAGGCGTAGCTGGCAAGGGGCAGAGATGGCGCAGGCTGATCACCGGCTGGGCCACCAGCTGGCCCAGCCCAAGGGAGGTAAGGCACCCGCCGGGCCCCACATGCGCCAGCAACCCTCCCTGCGCCCGCCACCCTCCCACCTCCCACTCCTGGCCCTCTTTTACTTACATTTTTAGTAGTTGCTCAGCAGGGAGGGGTGGAAACTTCCAGACAGCTCGCCTTCGCTGCAGACAACTTGCAGCACCGTTTGCAGAATGGGACTTTTGGCGGGCTCAGCAGGGCAGAGACAGCCTGGACAATTCCTATTGGCTTTTGAAAGCCAATAGAATTAGACTCTATTCAAGAGAGTCTCTTCTATTGGCTTTCAAAAGCCAATAGAATAAGAGGGAGTAGCACAGCTAAGGAAAAGGGGGGGGGGGGGAAATGGCGGACTGCGTTGTTTGGCGACCCCCGTGAAATGGTCATTCGACCCCAAATGGGGTCCCGACCCGCAGGTTGAGAACCACTGTTCTAGACACTCACATCTCCAACTCGGAACCCACCCAGCCAGCCCTTTCCTGACCATATCCTTTATTCCTTGCGCAGGTCCGTAAGCACCAGCAAGCTGTCAGACCCACCAGCAAAGACTACCCTTAGCAGCCAGCTCTACCAGGGCAGCAGCACTGACAGCCTTAATACCGAACGGCCCATGGACACAGGTAAGCTGATGGGTGGGGCAGAGGGGTGCAAGTTGTTTTGCACACCTGCCTGCCACGGGGAAGAGGGATGTTCATAAGATACCTCATGTCCGGTTCCAGAAACTCAGGAATCAGGTGGATCAAATGAGGACGGCAGAAAAAAAGATGATTAGGGGACTGGAGGCTAAAACATATAAGGAACGGTTGCTGGAATTGGGGATGTCTAGTTTAATGAAGAGAAGGACGAGGGGGGGCATGATAGCAGTCTTCCAGTATCTCAGGGGTTGCCCTAAAGAAGAGGGAGTCAAGCTATTCTCCACAGCGCCTGAAGGCAGGACAAGAAGCAACAGATGGAAACTCATCAGGGTGAGAAGCAACCTAAAACTAAGGAGAAACTTCTTGACAATGAGAACAATTAACCAGTGGAACAACCTGCTACCAGAAGCGGTGATTGCTCCAACCCTGGAAGTTTTTAAGAAGGGACTGGACAGCCATTTTTCTGAAATAGTATAGGGTTCCCCACCTGAGCAGGGAGTTGGACTAGATGATCTCCAAGGTCCCTTCCAACTTTATTAGTATTTTATTATTGTTATTGTTGTTGTTGTTATTATTATTATTAAAAAGATGATTGACAGTTCCCTCCTTCCTATCCAGGACACAGCCTATAAGCGTCGTTTGAGCAGGGTCCATAGGATTGTTTGGGATGTTACACTTCCTCTCCATGACCTCTTTTTCTTGTTACCTTCTGGGGGGGGGGGGCTTCGTGGTATCCGAAGGAGAACATCCAGATTCAGTCGCAGTTTTGTTCCATATGGCATCGCCTTTGTGAACTCTCAAGCTTCCTCTTTCTGCTATGTATTCAAGATGGACAGTGATTAATATTTATATGTAAGGGTGTAGGTATTTACATCTGTGGTATATAGCATGTTTATAATAATAAAGTTGGAAGGGACCTTGGAGGTCATCTAGTCCAACCCCCTGCTCAGGCAGGAAACTCTATACCATTTCAGACAAACGGCTGTCCAGTCTCTTCTTAAAAACTTCCAGTGTTGGAGCATTCACCGCTTCTGGAGGCAGGTTGTTAATAATAATAATAATGTTGGAAGGGACCTTGGAGGTCATCTAGTCCAACCCCCTGCTCAGTCAGCAAGCCCTGTACCATTTCAGACAAAACGGCTGTCCAGTCTCTTCTTAAAGACTTCCAATGTTGGAGCATTCACAGCATTCTGGAGGCAGGATGTTCCACTGGTTAATCGTTCTCGCTGTCAGGAAGTTTCTCCTTAGTTCTATATTGGGGAACTCTGCTATAGAGGATGAATCGATAAGATGTGCTCTTGAGAAAGGACTAAAATTCTGGCTTGTAGCCGTTTGTTCTCTCTGATAGCCTAGATCAGTGTTTGTCAACCTTGGCGGCTTAAAAGTGGGTAGAGTTCAACTCCCAGAATTCCACACCTAGCAATGGAATGGAAGCCCACCCATCTTAAAGCATGCCGGCTGGGGAATTCTGGGAATGGAAGTCCACCCTTCTTAAAGCATGCTGGCTAGGGAATTCTGGGAGTGGAAGTCCCGCCATCTTAGAGCAGGCTGGCTGGGGAATTCTGGGAGGGGAAGCACACCCCTCTTAAAGCATGCTGGCTGGGGGATTCTGGGAGTGGAAGTCCCCCCCTCTTAAAGCATGCTGGCTGGGGGATTCTCGGAGGGGAAGCACACCCATTTTAAAGCATGCTGGCTGGGGGATTCTGGGAGTGAGTCCACCCCTCTTAAAGCATGCTGGCTGGGGGATTCTGGGAGTGGAAGTCCACCCCTCTTAAAGCATGCTGGCTAGGGGATTCTGGGAGTGGAAGTCCACCCATTTTAAAGCATGCTGGCTGGGGGATTCTGGGAGGGGAAGCACACCCCTCTTAAAGCATGCTGGCTGGGGAATTCTGGGAGTGCAAGCCCACCTCTCTTAAAGCATGCTGGCTGGGGAATTCTGGGAGTGCAAGCCCACCCCTCTTAAAGCTGCCACGGTCGAGAAACACTGCCCTACATTCATCCTGCATATATCAGCTTCTCCCGAGATCTAACCCGCTTCATTTTTCCTCCCCAGCTCCCCCGGGGGCCTGTGGCACTACCGGAGGACCTCCATCCATGCCAGTTGGAGCCAGTTCCAGGGCAGTGATGTTCACTGTGGGATCCCCTCCGAACAGCGCCACCCCTCCCACGTGCACCCACATGGTTCTGCGAGCTCGGACAATGTCAGGTGAGGAAGTGACGCCTTCCGGGTCAAAGGGGGGGGGGTCCTTGAGCAGATTCCGACTGGACAGCCACCAGGCGGGGACCGATTCTGAGGCAGCCATCTCCAAGGGAGCCCCTGGTCTCCAAGGCGCCTGAAGCTACAGAAGAAGGATGTCTATGGGAGATTCTCAGTCATCCAGGGCATGGTGGTCTCCCAAACGTGCTTCTCAAAAGGCAAGTGGGCTTTCTCGTTGTTGTTGTTTTTCCTTGAAAACGACACATGAGCACAAACCAAATGGCAAGAAAAACCAAATGTACAGGTATAGTATAGGGGGTACCTTGCTCAATAGTAGTAACTGTGAGAGGAACCTTGAAGTCCTAGTGGAGAATCATGTAAATATGAGCCAGCCGTGTGCTGCAGCTGCCAAAAAGGCCAACACAGAGCTAGGCTGCATTAACAGAGGGAGAGAATCAAGATCACGTGAAGTGTTAATACCACTTTACAAGGCCTTGGTAAGGCCACACTTGGAATACGGCGTCCAGTTTTGGTCACTACGGTGTCAAAAAGAACTTGAGACTCTAGAAAAGAGTGCAGAGAAGAGCAACAAAGATGATCAGGGGACTGGAGGCTAAAACATATAAGGACGGTTGCTGGAATTGGGTCTGTTTAGTTTAATGAAGTTTAAAACTATGTCTAGTTTAATGAAGAGAAGGACGAGGGGGGACAGGATAGCAGCCTTCCAATATCTCAGGGGCTGCCCCAAAGAAGAGGGAGTCAAGCTATTCTCCAAAGCGCCTGAAGGCAGGACAAGAAGCAACGGATGGAAACTAACCAAGGAGAGAACCAACCTGGAACTAAGGAGAAATTTCCAGACAGTGAGAACAATTAACCAGTGGAACAACCTGCCTCCAGAAGCGGTGAATGCTCCATCACTGGAGGTTTTTAAGAAGAGATTGGACAGCCATTTGTCTGAAATGGTATACGGCAGAGGTAGGCAACCTCGGCTCTTTTATGACTCATGGACTTCAACTCCCAGAATTCCTCAGCCAGCTATGCTGACTCAGGAATTCTGGGAGTTGAAGTCCATGAGTCATAAAAGCTGAGGTTGCCTACCCCTCGTATAGGGTTTCCTGCCTGAGCAGAGGGTTGGACTAGATGACCTCCAAGGTCCTTTCCAACTTTATTATTATCATCATCATTATTATTATTACCCATCTGGACAAGATCCAGAGATCCATCTGCTTCTGAAAGGCAAAGGTTTCTTGAAGACAGCAAAGTCCACATTCTGGCCAGAGAGGAACAGTGGGTTTGAAAGAAGGATAAAAGAAATCAGCCCATTAGACTCGAGCTGGAAGGGACCCTGGAGGTCTTCTAGTCCAGCCCCCTGCTCAAGCAGGAGACCCTGTACGATTTCAGACCAGTTGGGTGTCCAGCCTCCTCTTCAAAACCTCCAGGGGTGGAGGCACCCACAACTTCTAGTGGCAAGCTCTTCCACTGTTGAATTATACTCACTGTTAGGAAGTTTCTTCTTCATTCCAGCTTCTCCTTGATTAGTTTCCATCTGTTGCTTCTTGTCCTGCCTTCAGGGGCTTTGGGAAATAAATGTATCCCCTCCTCTTTGTGGCGGCCGCTCAAATACTGGGAGACTGCTATCATGTCCCCCTCCCCTATATCTTCTTTTCTCTAGGCTGGCCAAACCCGAATCCTGCGACCGTTCTTCATAATGTTTTTGCCTACAGGCCTTTAATCCTCTCAGTTGCCCTTCTCTGCATTTTTTTCCCAAAGCCTCAACATCTTTTTTTTGTAGTGTGGTGACCAAAACTGCATGCGGTATTCCAGGTGTGTTAAAATTCCATCTGTGTTAAAACTGAACAGCCCCTTGCTCAGTATAGGTTATAACAGTGGTTCTCAACCTTTTTAATGCCGCGACCCCCCAACCGGTCGTAAGTCGAGGACTACTCAACCGGTTATAAGTCGAGGACTATTCAACCGGTGCAGCACTGTTTGCAGAAGCGGACTTTTGGCGGGCTCAGCAGGGCAGAGACAGCCTGGACCATTCCTATTGGCTTTTGAAAGCCAATAGAATTAGACTCTATTCAAGAGAGTCTCTTCTATTGGCTTTCAAAAGCCAATAGAATAAGAGGGAGTAGCACAGCTAAGGAAAAGGAGAAAAAAATGGCGGACTGCGTTGTTTGGCAACCCCCGTGAAATGGTCATTCAACCCCAAATGGGGTCCTGACCCACAGGTTGAGAACCACTGGGTTATAATAATAAAGTTGGAAGGGACCTTGGAGGTCTTCTAGTCCAACCCCCTTGCTCATTCCTGAGAATGCTCAGGAAGATAAATTTATCTCAACATCTACTTCTGTCCTACTATCACAGCACCATTGAGAGTGTCCTGACATACGGCATTCTTGCATGGTATGGAAGTAGCTCTGTAGTGGACAAAAAAGCTCTACAGAGAATCATTAAAACTGCCCAGAATATTATTGGATTTCAGCTACCAGCCCTGGACGACATCTTTGAATCTCGTTGTTTGAGGGAGTTGTGTAACATTCTCAGGGACTCTTCCCATCCTGCTTACAATCTTTTTGGACTGTTGCCTTCTGGCAGAAGATACAGAATAATTAAAACTCAGACCACACGTTTTCTAAATAATTTTTATCCCAGAGCTATAGTTGCACTCAACAATGAATTAAAGGGCCACCATCAGTGAACTGTTGGACAGTATTACTTGGTCTGTTGTGTGGGTGTTTGGGTGGTCTTAGGGGTGGGAAATTGTGGTGGGTGGGAGTGTGTTTGGGGATTATGTGTGTGGGACCTGGTCTTTGGGTGTCAAGTAAATTTTGTTGTATGTGTACACTGTGTGTGCACATAAAATGACAATAAAGTTTGAAATTTGAAACCCTGTACCATTTCATGTAGAGCCGTGGTTCTCAACCTGTGGGTCGGGACCCCATTTGGGGTCGAACGACCATTTCACGGGGGTCGCCAAACAACGCAGTCCGCCATTTTCCCCCCCTTTTCCTTAGCTGTGCTACTCCCTTTTATTCTATTGGCTTTTGAAATAGAGTCTTGAATAGAGTCTAATTCTATTGGCTTTCAAAAGCCAAGAGGAATTGTCCGGGCTATCTCTGCCCTGCTGAGCCCGTCAAAAGTCCCATTCTGCAAATGGTGCTGCACCAGTTGAGTAGTCCTCGACTTACGACCGGTTGAGTAGTCCTCGACTTACGACCGGTTGGGGGTCGCGGCATTAAAAAGGTTGAGAACCACTGATGTAGAGGCACGTAGAGGCCCTGCAGGGCAGATGCAGTCTTGACTATGGAGTCCGTGATGGTCTCTGAGCTTGGTTGTTTTTTTAGCAGACATTTCATTACCCAACCAAGAGTGGGGGTTTCTCTCTGTTTTTATACAACGGCTACAATAAACAACAGCCTCACTGAAGAACTATTAAAAAGAGGAAAATGTCTCCCATGAACATAGACAGGGCAAGCTGCTAATATATATAAACAGAGCCAAACCCCATCCCTTCAAGCATTGATGATGTTACCTAATTGGGTAACGAAACGTCTGCAAGAAAACCACCCAGGACCCCACAGTCTTCCTCCTCCTCCTCTCTTCTATCCCTGATGATGTTACCCAGCTGGGTCATGAAACGTCTGCAAGAAAACCACCCAGCTCAGAGAGCACCAAGGACCCCCACAGTCCTCCTCCTCCTCTTCCTTCTCCTCCCTTCTAGCACTGATGACGCTACCTAGCTGGGTCATGAAATGTCTGCAAGAAAATGACCAAACTCAGAGAGCACCAAGGAGGCCATTGTCGTCGTCGTCCTCCTCCTCCTCCTCCTCCTCCTCCTCTCTGCTAGTACTGATGATGTTACCTAGTTGGGTCAGGAAACATCTGCAGGAAAACCACCCAGCTCAGAGCACCAAGGACCCCCACAGTCCTCCTCCTCCCTTCTAGCACTGATGATGCTGCCTAGCTGGGTCATGAAACGTCTGCAAGAAAACCACCCAGCTCAGAGAGCACCAGGGACCCCACCGTCCTCCTCTTCTTCCTCTCCTGCTCCTTTTTGCTGTTTGTCCTCCTGACTCTCTTTCCCCTCCACTCCACAAACCCCACCTAGCACTAATGATGCTACCTAGCTGGGTCATGAGACGCCTACAAGGAAACCACCAAGCTTAGAGAACACCGAGGACTCCACAGTCCTCCTCCTCCTCCCGTCTAGCACTGATGATGTTACCTAGTTGGGCAATGAAATGTCTGCAAGAACACAACCAAGCTCAGAGAACACCAGGGATCCCACAGTCCTCCTCCTCCTTCCTTCAGCCCCCCACTCCCTTCTAGCACTGATGATGTTCCCTAGTTGGGTCATGAAACATCTGCAAGAAAACCACCCAGTTCAGAGAGCACCAAGGACCCCCACAGTCCTCCTCCCTTCTCTGATGATGCTACCCAGCTGGGTCATGAAACGTCTGCAGGAAAACCATCAAGCTCAGAGAGCACCAAGGACCCCCACAGTCCTCCTCCTCCTCATCTTCCCCCCCTGCAAACCCTACTCCCTTCTAGCACTGATGATGCTACCTAGCTGGGTCATGAAACCACCAAACTCAGCCAGCGGCAAGGACACCCCAGATCAAAACCTGAGCTACAAATATTCTCTTCTGTGGGAAGGCTTTGGACCATAAGAAAGGCTGAGCGCCAAAGAATGGAGGCCTTTGAACTCTGGTGCTGGAGAAGACTCCTGCGAGTCCCCTGGACTGCAAGGCGATCCAACCGGTCAGTCCTAGAGGAGATCAACCCCGACTGCTCTTTAGAAGGCCAGATCCTGAAGTTGAAACTCAAGTATTTTGGCCACCGAATGAGAAAGAAGGACTCACTGGAGAAGAGCCTGATGCTGGGAAAGATGGAGGGCAAGAGAAGAAGGGGACGACAGAGAATGAGGGGGCTGGATGGAGTCCCTGAAGCAGTAGGTGTGAACTTAAATGGACTCCAGAAGATGGCAGAGGACAGGAAGACCTGGAGGAACGTTGTCCATGGAGTCGCAATGGGTCGGACACGACTTCGCAATTAACAACAACAACAATGGGAAGGCTATTGTAAGCTCACGCAGTTCTTTAGAGTGTGTCTCTCCGTGTGTTGTGATGAGTCTTTTTTTTTTTTTCCCCTTCCTGCCTTTTAGTTGGCTCTAACAGCTCGGGAGGCTCCCTCTGTTCTACCAGTGGCCGGGTCCTGATGGGCTCTCCGCCCGGAGTTTATATGGGCTCCTCTCCTCCCGGCGCTGAGCCGGCACCTTGCTTGAAGTACCTGCCGTACGGTGCCTCCCCTCCCAGCTTTGAAGCTCCCGAACTGCCGGAAGAAACTTTGATGGAGGTACGGGGTTGAGAGAGACATTACGGGGCAAGGTTAAGGGGGTACACAAGAGGATCCTCCAATTACACTCATTCGTGAGATTGGTGATAAGAAGGAGGCTGAGAGAGATTAAAAACTTTAATATACTTGGTAGAGATACTTGAAGTGATAATTTGTTGATGTAAAACAAGATTTTGATTATGGTCATTTTAAATGGATAAAGCTTTAAAACAGGTGGAGTAGTAACAGAAATGTAAGCTAGAAATGGAATATATTAAATCTGTTACGTTATTTGTGAGAAATTGAGAGATGATAGTGAATGTATTAAGTTGAGCTGTTTATGTATGTTTTGTACCTTGAATGGTTTGTTTACCCAAACACCACGGTGTGTCTAAACCAGTGGTTCTCAGCCTGTGGGTCGGGACCCCATTTGGGGTCGAACGACCATTCCACGGGGGTCGCCAAACAACGCAGTCCGCCATTTTTTTCCCCCCTTTTCCTTAGCTGGGCTACTCCCTTTTATTCTATTGGCTTTTGAAAGCCAATAGAATAGACTCCCTTGAATAGAGTCTAATTCTATTGGCTTTCCAAAGCCAATAGGAATTGTCCAGGCTGTCTCTGCCCTGCTGAGCCCGCCCAAAGTCCCATTCTGCAAATGGTGCTGCACCAGTTGAGTAGTCCTCGACTTACGACCGGTTGAGTAGTCCTCGACTTACGACCGGTTGGGGGGGGGTCGCGGCATTAAAAAGGTTGAGAACCACTGGTCTAAAGTATTTTATTTGTTAAAATAAAAAAAAACCCAATAAAATATATTTTTTAAAAAAATTACACTCATTCGTTTAATGCAGGGGTAGGCAACCTTGGCTCCTTCATGACTCATGGACTTCAACTCCCAGACTTCCTGACTCCGCCATGCTGACTCAGGAATTCTGGGAGTTGAAGTCCACGAATCATAAAAAAGCCAAGGTTGCCTACCCCTGGTTTAGTATCATAAGAGCCCTGGTGGCGCAGTGGTTAGAATGCAATATTGGAGGCTACTGCTGCTGACTGCCAGTAGTTCGATCCTGACCGGCGCCAGGTTGACTCAGCCTTTCATCCTTCCAAGGTCGGTAAAACAAGGACCCAGATTGTTGGGGGGGCGAGATGCTGACTCTGTAAACCGCTTAAGAGAGCTGTAAAAGGCCCTGTGGAGTGGTATATAAGTGCTATTGCTTGGGAAAGGAAGGAAGGAGAAAGAAAGAAAGAAAGAAAGAAAGAAAGAAAGAAAGAAAGAAAGAAAGAAAGAAAGAAAGAAAGAAAGAAAGAAGGAAGGAAGGAAAGAGAAAGAAAGAAAGAAAGAAAGAAAGAAAGAAAGAAAGAAAGAAAGAAAGAAAGAAAGAAAGACGAGAAGGAAGGGAAACAAGGAGAAGGAAGGAAGCTGTGGTGGCACAGTGGTTAGAATGCAGTATTGCAGGCTACTTCTGCTGACTGCTGGCTGCCAGTAGTTCGATTCTGACCGGTTTAAGGTTAACTCAGCCTTCCGTCCTTCCGAGGTCAGTAAAATGAGGACACAGATTGTTGGGGGCAAATAGAGTGACTGTAAACCACTCAGAGAGGGCTGTAAAGCCCTGTGAAGCAGTATGTAAGCCTAAGTGCTATTGTTATTCTTCCCTCCTTTCTCTCCCTCCCTTTTCCCCTCCCTCCCTCCCTCCCTTCCTTCCCAGGGTGGCGCAGTGGTCAGAATACAGTATTGTAGGCTGACTCTGCCCACTGCCAGCAGTTTGATCTTGACCGGCTCAAGGTTGACTCAGCCTTCCGTCCTTCCGAGGTTGGTCAAATGAGGACCCAGATTGTTGGGGGCAAACAGGCTGACTCTGTAAAGCACTTAGAGAGGTCTGTAAGGCGGTGTATAAGTCTAAGTCAGTGGTTCTCAACCTGTGGGTCGGGACCCCATTTGGGGTCGAACGACCATTTCACGGGGGTCGCCAAACAAGGCTGTCCGTCATTTTTTCCCCCTTTTCTTTGGCCACGCCCCTGGCACCCAGTGATGTATAAGTGGTTGGGGGTCACCACAACATGGGGAACTGTATTATGGGGTCGTGGCATTAGAAAGGTTGAGAACCACTGGTCTAAGTGCTATTGCTAGTGACCGTTTGAAGTTACAACGGCACTGAAAAAAAGTGACTTATACGACCATCCGGCTTCCCCGTTGACTTTCTTGTCAGAAGGTTGCAAAAGGAGATCACGTGGCCCTGGAACACTGCGACCGTCATAAATACGAGTCAGTTGCCAAGCCTCTGAACTTTGGTCACGTGGCCACAGGAACGCTTCAGCGTATAAAAATGGTCATAAGTTGCTTTTTTTTTTCAGTGCTGTTGTAACTTTTTTTTTTTATTATTGAACATTTTTAAATTTTACAAAAAAATTCCCTTCCCCAGACCCTCCCAGCCCACCCCAACCTTCCCCCAATCTTCCCAGAGCTGAATGCAGGCTTAGTTAAAACTTAAAAGAAAAAATTTTAAACACAAATAAACCATAAACAAATTTGGTTACAATCATTAAACAAATTATAAAATACTTTAACACCATTATATATAGAAAGCAGAAAGAGAAAGAGAAAAGAAACAAGAAAAAAGAAAAAAAAAAATAAGAAAGATAGAGAATTTAAAAAAGGATATCAAAATAATATCTTAAACTTTAAATATAAGTTATTCAAAAACTAAATAATATTTTTTTATATCATACTTATATAAAGTATAATATTATACTATTATATTGTATAAAATTTATCCATCTTTTCCATACAAAGAGGTACTTCTCTTGCGATTGATCTTTCAAGAGTGCTGTTGTAACTTTGAACGGTCGCTAAATGAACGGTTGTTTTAAGTCTGCCTCTACTTTATTTGGCCCAAGTGTGATTACACACACACACATACACACACGGAATTTGTCTCGCACAAGGATTGGGTGTTCTTGGTGGCCTGAAAATTTGGCTTTGGCTTGCTTCCCTCCAGAGAGAGCACACCGACACGCTGCGCCACTTGAATTTGATGCTGGCCTTCACGGAGTGCGTGCTGGACCTGACGGCTATTCGCAGTGGCACCCCAGAGCTCTGCAGCTCCGCCGTGTCCCTCTACCAGATCCAGGAGAGCATCGTGGTGGATCAGATCAGCCAGCTGAGCAAAGACTGGGGGTGGGTAATTCCTCAAAACGCCTGGCTCTCGTGGAAATCTCTTCCTGCCCTGGACGGTTCATGTTCCAACTTCTCGCTGTTACCAAAATGGTTTCAAAATATTCAACATTTTATTGATGCTTTTTTTTTATCTTTGTGCAGTTTTTCTTTTTTTTTTTTTTTATGACGTTTCGACGAAGTCTCATTCGTCATCTTCAGGCTGGTGTTTTCGGCTTCGTGCTTCTAGGAGCCATGTGTGATCGTAGCTGTTTCTTCCTTTTAACTGCCAGTGGGGGTATGAACTGATTGGATGAGAGCTTGGCTGTGTTCTGATTGGATGGAGGTGTGTTCTGATTGGTTAGAAGCTTGGCTGTGCTCTGATTGGGTGGGGGGTTGGCTGTGCTCTGATTGGGTGGGGGAGTGTTCTGTTTGGGTGGGGGCTTTGTTGTGCTCAGGTTAGTCTGAGTTGCAGGGGGATGTGAGATGGTGAGCTGCATGGCTATTGTTTGGCTTCGCGTTCGTGGTCGTGCCTCATCTTCATGGTGGGTGTCAGTTTGCTTCGTGTATGGATTGGAGGGGTTTAAAGATGCAGCTGTGGTCTGGCTTCTAGTTTGTGGTCGTGCCTTATCATCGGTGTGGGTTTGGGTTTGCTTTTTGCGTGGACGTGTGGTGGTGACGATTTCATACTTTGTAGAGGAAAGGTGAGGAGATTATGTTAAGAATAGAAATAGAAATAAGTATAGAATAGAATAAAATAGAACAGAACAATAGGAGGAATGTAAGAATAGATAGAATAGAATAGAATAGAATTTAGGAATAGAATAGAATAGAATAGAATGAGAATAGAATGAGAATTGAATAAGAGTTAGGAATAGAATAGAATAAGAATTTGGAATAGAATATGAATAAAAATTAATAGTATGGAATAGAATAAGAATATGGAATGGAATAGAATAGAATAGAATAGAATAGAATAGAATAACTGAGTTGGAAGGGACCTTTGAGGTCTTCTAGTCCAACCCCCTGCTCAGATAGGAAACTCTATACCAGGTATCCCCAAACCCCAATCTGTGGAGCGGTACTGGGCCACAGCATGCCAGCAATGCCAGAAAAGCTCCATCCCTGGGATATAGGCAGCACACAAAACCACGCATTCTCCAGTCCACGGAAAAACCCTTCTCCACGGAACCGGTCCCTGATGCCCCAAAAGTTGGGGACCTCTGCCCTATACCATTTCAGACAAATGGTCATCCAATCTCTTCTTAAAAACTCCCAGTGTTGGACCATTCACAACTTCTAGAGGCAAGGAGTTCCACTGGTTAATTGTTCTGACTGTCAGGAAGTTTCTCCTTAGTTCTAGCTTGCTTGAGTTGAGTTGATGCAGACCCACCTGGCAGATTGCCCTACTGGTGCACCCACAATCCAGAGCAGTCTGGCTTTTTATCCTCTCAGAGTCTCCTTGAACCTGGAGATGGAGAGCAAATAAATTGGATAATAATTAATAACGATACAAAATACAAAGACCTGCAAATAAAAATAGAACGGCTGTAGCAAAAGAAAGCAAAAGTAGTACCAATAGGGATTGGTGTCTGGAGTGCAAACCCAACACATCTGGAGCACCACGTAAACGCCATTGGAATTGACACTTCCATCAGTCAATTGCAAAGGGCAGTTTTACTTGGCACGGCTGACATCCTGCAATGATACCTCTAAGGATGGGATAGGCAATCTTGGCTCTTTTATGACTCGTGGACTTCAACTCCTAGAATTCCTGAGCCAGCATGGGGGAACTATGGCCCCCTTTATGCCTTGTGGACTTCAACTCCCAGAATTCCTGAGTCAGCATGGCTGGCTCAGGAATTCTGGGAGTTGAAGTCCACGAGTCATAAAAGAGCCAAGGTTGTCTACCCCTGCTCTAAGGTCTCAGTCGATGGACAAAAATACCAAACCATAATATCCTGGCTTGTCCAGTTATTTTAATGCTGAATGCTTTTGTGGACTGAGTACAACTGTGTTTAATAAGACCAGTTGCTGACACAGCCTTTGAATTATAAAACAGAAGTTGGGTCCACCCGGCACCCAACGATACATAAGTGGGTTTTGGGTTGCAGTTTGGGCACTTGGGTCCCCATCACTGATCTAGGCAATATATTTAATGGTTTTTGATTTATGAAAGGGGATATTGTGTTATTAAGTAGACGATTTAATATGGTGGGAAATCAATAACTCTTAGGAAATAGAACAAGATTATATTTAAATAGATAAAATGTGTATTTTAGATATTCTATAGCAGTGATGGCGAACCTCTCTGTGCGCCCTCGCTCCAGTCCTAGGCCTTCAGCTGGGTTTTATAAAACCTTTTCGCTTATCAATCAGTCAATTTCAACTTCTCGCGGGAAAAAAAAGATCTTGCAAAGTTGGAATTGATTGATTGAACTTTTTAGTCCCACCCGTTGCCACCACAGCCGTTACCACCACAGCCATGCCCACACAATGGGCCACACCCACCCGGCACCCAACGATGCATAAGTGGGTTTTGGGTTGCAGTTTGGGCACTCGGTCTCTAAAAAGTTTGCCATCACTGTTATATAGTTTGTTATCTAGTGAAATAAGGGAAATTTGGGTTACCCTAAGTTCTGAAAATTATAAATATCAACAGTTAAATTGGAATATTGACAAGAAATTTTAAAAAATTGACTAAAAATCAATAACAGGATACGGATGGTTTATGAAGATTGAATGTAATTAAGATACGCATAAGCTAAAAATTTATTGATAAATGTAATAATGATGTCCTTATTGAATTGATATAATTGGAAATGTACCAACCTGAACATGAGACAGTAATGGTTAAGGGGAAAGAAGAGAAGAAATATTTGATGTTGTAGCCTGAGATTAGTACTAGCTATTGTTGTTGTTGTTCTTGTGCCATATCCGTTATCGGACGTTGGCGATCATGTTGGCGATCCTGTTTTTATCAGCAGCCGCACGAAAAAGTGCTGCTGAGTTTTGTCCAAACCAGCCCCTTAGATTTTGAAGCCACGATGTTCTTCTTCTGCCTGGACCTCGTTTGCCTTCCATCTTTCCCTGGAGGATTAAATGGGAGTATGTCGTATTTTTCTGGGTGTCGCATCACACGTCCGAAATATTCTAATTTTAATTTTTTAATTGTTTTGATGATTTCCCTTGGCTTTCCTAAGGGGCTTATCCCCTCCTCATTTCTGATCTTGTCAACCCAGCTTGTACGTGACAGCCGCCTGTAAAAATATTGATTTAAATGGACTCCAGAAGATGGTAGAGGACAGGAAGGTCTGTCCATGGGGTCGCGATGGGTCGGACACGACTTCGCGACTAACAACAACATGGTTACTGAGCTGTTGATGAACCCAGTCACCACGTTGCTTTTTAAATATTCAAATCTAAAATTGGAAAATTAATAAAATATTATTCAAAAAAATAAAACCCTGGCCAAATAGATCGTCTGTGACTGAGTGGCCGAGTTGAGCCATGAAAAGATTGTTGACATTGTCCTGTTGTCTTCCTTTTTAGGCAAGTTGAGCAGCTGGTTCTGTACATGAAGGCAGCCCAGCTCCTGGCCTCCTCCTTACATCTGGCCAAAGCCCAGATCAAGTCAGCTAAGCTGAATCTCTCGACCGCGGTGAAGCAAGGTGAGCCCGACGACTTTCCTTCCGCAGAAAGTTCCAGAACGTTTTCCCAATCTCGGAGTCCCAACCGACCTCTGGTGGTTGAGGATTACAAAAGGCGAATTCTTTTCCGCTGACAACGCTATGTTTTTCTAGTAGTAGTAGTAGTAGTAGTAGTAGTAGTAGTAATAATAATAATAATAATAATAATAATAATAATAATAATAATAATAATAATAATACTGCAATGATATGTGTAATACCATCAAACATCCACATCTGCCTATCCCAGGTCCTGGGTAAGGACTCGATAGGTAGACAAAATGCCAAATCCAGTCTGAACATCTGGCTGACTGTGCGATGATCCATAATAATATTGTAAGGGAGCTTGGAGGTCATCTAGTCCAACCCCCTGCTCAGGCAGGAAACCCTATACCAGGGTTAGGCAACCTTGGCTCTCTTATGACTCGTGGACTTCGACTCCCAGAATTCCTCAGCCAGCATGGCTCAGCTTGGAAACCTCTCCCTTTCCCCTCAGCATGGCTGGCTCAGGAATTCTGGGAGTTGAAGTCCACGAGTCATAAAAGAGCCACGGTTGCCTACCCCTGGCCTATACCATTTCGGACAAATGGCTGTCCAGTCTCTTCTTAAAAACTTCCAGGGTTGGAGCATTCACCGCTTCTGGAGGCAGGTTGTTCCACTGGTTAATTGTTCTAACTGTCAGGAAGTTTCTTTTCTTTATTTATTTCACCTAGTCCTATTGGAAGGACAGGTAGTCCTCGCACCTACGGCCACCATTGAGCCCAGCGTTTCTGTGGCTAAGCAAGACTGTTTTGCTCCATTTCTTGCCACTGTTGTTAAGCGAATCACTGCAGTTGTTAAATGGGCCACACCGTTGTTAACTGAATCTAGCTTCCCCATTGTCAGAAGGTTGCAAAAGAGAAAGCATATGACACCCCCCCCCCAGGACACAGTGACCGTCATAAATATGACTCACTTGCCCAGTGTCCGAATGTTGATCATATGAGCGTGGGAACACTACAAGGGTCGTAAGTGTGAAAAAGGCTCCTAAATCACTTTTTTTCAGCGCCCTTGTAATTTCAAACGGTCACTAAACTATCTGTAAAGGCAAAAAATGACAGATGAGATTTGGGGCGTTACTCAAATCGATGCATTCAGATTACCAGAGGGTGGACATTATCTGCAATAGTCGTTTTGTTGCCAGATCACCACTCCTGAATTGAGAAGCTTTTGTGGCTGCATGCCTGCCAAGCCTGTTATTTTGCAGGGAGTGTGCTATGTTACACAATGGGCCCTGGGTCCTTAGAAAAGTAACCAGTGTTGGGTAACAACACTTAGAGCCTTGTCTTTTTCCAGATAACATTGAACAGAATAACAGAGCTGGATGGGAACTTGGAGGTCATCTAGTCCAAACCCCTGCTCAGGCAGGAAACCTATACCATTTCAGACAAATGGCTGTCCAGTCTCTTCTTAAAAGCTTCCAGTGTTGGAGCATTCACCGCTTCTGGAGGCAGGTTGTTCCACTGGTTAATTGTTCTCACTGTCAGGCAGTTTCTCCTTAATTCCAGGTTGCTTCTCTCCTTGGTTAGTTTCCATCCCTTGCTTCTTGTCCTGCCTTCAGGGGCTATGGAGAATAGCTTAATAATAATAATAATAATAATAATAATAATAATAATAATAATAATAATAATAATAATATCATTTGCCTGTAAGCAAAAACTGGTGGGATCATAAAATAGAGGAAGTCATAGAAAATGATAAAATTCAACTGCTCTGGGACTTCAGAATTCAAATAGACAAGCACCAGCAACATAACACCCCAGACTTAACAATTGTCGATAAGAAAGACAAAAAAGTCTGGATAGTGGACGTGGCAGTGCCTGGAGACAGCAGAATAGACGAGAAAGAACTGGAGAAGATAACAAAATACAAAGACCTACAAATAGAAATAGAAAGACTGTGGCAAAAGCAAGCAAGGGTAGTACCAATAGTCATAGGCTCCTTGGGTGCAATCCCAAAACAACTGGAGCACCACTTGAACACTATTGGCATTGACAAATTCGCTATTAGTCAATTGCAAAAGGCGGCCTTATTAGGAACTGCTTCCATCCTGCGACGATATCTGTAATACCATCAAACATCCACATCTGCCTATCCCAGGTCCTGGGTAAGGACTCGATAGGTAGACAAAATGCCAAATCCAGTCTGAACATCTGGCTGACTGTGCAATGATCCATAATAATAATAATAAAGTTGGGAGAGGGACCTTGGAGGTCATCTAGTCCAACCCCCTGCTCAGGCAGGAAACCTATACCATTTCAGACAAATGGCTGTCCAATCTCTTCTTAAAAACTTCCAGTGTTGGAGCATTGACTGCTTCTGGAGGCAGGTTGTTCCACTGGTTAATTGTTCTCACTATCAGGCAGTTTCTCCTTAATTCCAGGTTGCTTCTCTCCTTGATGAGTTTCCATCTGTTGCTTCTTGTCCTGCTTTCAGGCGTTTTGAAGGTTAAGCTGACACACACACACCTCTTTTTTGTGGCAACCCCTCAGATATTGGAACATTGCTATTTAGAAAAGTGCACCTGTCAACAACCCTTTTAAGTAGCTGTACCTTGCACCTTTACATTTCTGCCTCGATTCCTGGTAGACCTTAACTTACAACACAATTGCCATGTGGCCATTAAGTGAATCATTGCATGACTACTCCCAATTTTGTTACCCTTTTGCTATCAGCGCTGCTAATATTGAATATTCTTGCTTTGACAAAATATGCAGAACTGTCTGGTACTTTTAGAGTTAATTCAGATGACAGAGAAAAGGGAGGGGAAATAACAAAAGCCAGGGAAAAGGAAGGGAAGTGAATCTCTGCCCTCTGGGCTAATTGGAAGATGTGACTTGTGACTGCAAGATAAGGGAGGGGTTTAGCAAGAAAAGTGAGATGTCAGCAAGAGGAATTCAGATTCTGGCATAAACCTCCATGATGTGCCGACAATTTGTAACACTGGTAATAAAGACTTTAGGCCAGTGGTTCTCAACTTGTGGGTCGGGACCCCATTTGGGGTCGAACGACCATTTCACGGGGGTCGCCAAACAACGCAGTCCACCATTTTTTTCCCCTTTTCCTAACTGTGCTACTCCCTTTTATTCTATTGGCTTTTGAAATAGACTCTTGAATAGAGTCTAACTCTATTGACTTTCAAAAGCCAATAGGAATTGTCCAGGCTGTCTCTGCCCTGCTGAGCCCGCCAAAAGCCCCATTCTGCAAACGGTGCTGCACCAGTTGAATAGTCCTCGACTTATGACCGGTTGGGGGTCGTGGCATTAAAAAGATTGAAAACCACTGCTTTAGGATAAACATGCCTGGAAGTTCTTTAAAGTGTTTCATTAGTCAGAATCATGACATTTGCCTTGGTTAGGGTTGAAATCTCCAAGTCTTAAAGTTGCCAATTGATAGCTCGGGAATTCTGGGAATTGCAGTCCCCAAGTCTTAAAGTTGCCAAGTGCTGGCTGGGAAATGCTGGTAGTTGAAGTCCACAAGCTTTGACAGTTGCCAAATGCTGGCTGGGGAATTCTGGGAATTGAAGTCCCTGAATCATAACGTTGCCAAACCACCTTAAAGTTGGAGACCCCTGACCTAGGGGGTTACTGTTAGCAGTCCCACAAATTAAATTAACTAAGAGATGCATTAGTGACTAGGGCGGAGGGCAGGATGTGACTCGCCACAATTCATGTCACAAAGGGCCAGATTATTATTATTAATCGACACATCTGTTTAACACAAAATGTGGTGCCCAGTCTTCTTAATTGAGGCTTAAACCAATACATTCTGGCATTTGAAGTCCACAAGTCTTAAAGTTGCCACGGTTGTGGACACCCCTGGCCCAAAAGGAAAGGGTTGCTAAGACCAAAGGTAGCTGTGATGAGTGAGATTTGTTGATTTGTATATATTGGTCTCCTCCACCCTCCTGGGGATCAGAAATTTGCTCTTAACCTCTCTCGTTCTGTCCATAGCAGCCAAAGAGCCACATGGGAATTTTTTTGTTACTGACTGCATTTTTTGCTTCGGATTCCTTCTTTTGCAGTTGTCAAAAATCTGAATGAGAGGTACAAATTCTGCATTGCCATGTGCAAGAAGCTGACCGAAAAGCTGAACCAGTTTTTCTCAGATAAGCAGCGTTTTGTCGATGAAATCAACAGCGTCACCGCCGAAAAGCTCATCTACAATTGTGCCGTGGAAATGGTAAGAAAGCTGGCAGAATAAATCAATCATCGGGCAATCTGATCCAAGCTCAAAGGAGAGGTCACACATCTCATAAGTCACGAGTCCCTTCGTGGTCGCAAGAAATTGTATGTCCAGCCCACCTTGAATTGCCTTAATTCCCGCTCATTTCCCGTGACCATTAGTAGCTCAGATTCTTGTAGAGGAAGTCCTCGACTTACAACAATTTGTTTAGTGACTGTTCAAAGTTACAACAGCACTGAAAAAGGTTTTCCACCCTTATGACCATTGCAGCATCCCCATGGTCGCGTGATCAAAATTAGGATTCTTGGCAGCTGGTTCATATTTATGATGATTGCAATGTCCCGGCGTCACATGATCCCCTTTTGTGACCTTCTAACAAGCAAAGTCAGTGGGGGAAGCCAGATTCGCTTAACAACCCTGTTACTAACTTAACAACTGCAGTGATTCGGGCTCAATTGTGGTCGTAAGTTGAGGACTACCTGTAGAGAGCTTAAGCTGGCAATAAATCTTTATCCCCATTTGAACTGCATGAATCTCCCGATTTCCCCAGCTCTTGACTTTTGTTTAGCGACTGTTCCAAGTTGCAACGACACTGAAAGAGTGACTTACGGCTGATCCTCGCACTTACAACCATTGCAGCACCCCCACAGTCGAGTGATCAAAATTGGGGTACTACCATTTATAATGATAGTTGCATCCCAGGGTCCTGTGATCACTGCCAGCATTTGACAAGCAAAATCAATAGGGAAAGCCAGATCCGCTTAACCCCTGTCGTGATTCACTTAACAACCGTGGCCAAAAAAGATTGCAGAATTGCACACGACTCATTGTTTGTCTTAGCAACAGAAATCCTAGCCCTTATTACCATCATAAGTCGAGAACTGATCTGTAGTAGGCCTCCTGCTGCTGCTAAGCAGGCAGGCAAACAACTCCAGCATAACCGGAGCACCTAAGAGATTAATTAAGAGTGGTTTCCACTAATTACTTCTTCCTCGTAATTTGGGAAAAGTTTTTAGTGTTGCTGCTTAACCAAACTTTTATCAGACTTCATTATCCCTGGCTTGAAAACCCCCCCAGGACTGTGTGGTCCCAGAAGCTTTTGTGAGGGAGGCTGAAGCTTTTCCCAGAATCTACCTACCATATATCACAGAGTTGTAAGCCCTAAAGATGTTCAAAGACATAGCAATTTTCACAACAGTCTGCAGGAGTTTCACTCTTGGGTGTTGTAGCTGGACTCTGGCTGTCGTTCAAAGCTTCAGGAAGTTTTGCCTGGCCAAAGCAAACGACCCCTTCGAAACAAGATGGACAGCAAATAAATTTAATACAGGTCATCCTTGACTTAACAACAGTTCATTTAGTGACCGAAGTTATAACTGCACTAAAAAGGGGGGGGGCTTATGACTAAAAAGCAGAGAGGTCACCCTGTCAACAAAAGTGCGTATAGTCAAGGCCATGGTTTTCCCTGTTGCAATGTATGGCTGTGAAAGTTGGATCGTAAGAAAGGCTGAGCGCCCAAGAATGGAGGCCTTTGCACTCTGGTGCTGGAGAAGACTCCTGCGAATCCCCTGGACTGCAAGGCGATCGAACTGGTCAGTCCTGGAGGAGATCAACCCCGACTGCTCTTTAGAAGGCCAGATCCTGAAGTTGAAACTCAAGTATTTTGGCCACCTAATGAGAAGGAAGGACTCACTGGAGAAGAGCCTGATGGTGGGAAAGATGGAGGGCAAGAGAAGAAGGGGACGACAGAGAATGAGGTGGCTGGATGGAGTCCCTGAAGCAGGAGGCGTGAACTTAAAGGGACTCCAGAAGATAGTGGAGGACAGGAAGGCCTGGAGGAACGTTGTCCATGGAGTCGCAATGGGTCGGACACGACTTCGCAACTAACAACAACAACAACCATTTTTCACGCTGAGGACCGTTGCCCAGGGTCATGTGATCAAAATTTGGACTCTTTAACCACTCTCATTTATCACAAACGCAGTGTCCTGAGGTCATGTGATCCCCTTTTCAGACCTTCTGACAAGCAAAGTCAAATGGGAAGCCAGTTTCACTTAACAACCGTGTTGCTAACTTAACAACCGCACTGATCCAACAACTGTGTCAAGAAAGGTTGTAAAATGGGACAAGAGTCACTTAACAACTGTCTCATTGCTTAGTGACGGAAATTTGGGGTTGAATTGTGTTGGTAGGTCGAGGACTATCTGTGAATTAAATGCATGCATACATACTATCCTGCCAGATGAGAAAGGTTGGGCTACTGTGGTTATGGATAAGCCCGAGTATGCATTAACAGGGATAGAATCAAAATCATGTGACGTGTTGATACCACTTTACAAGGCCTTGGTAAGGCCACACTTGGAATGCTGCATCCAGTTTTGGTCACCACGATGTAAAAAAGACGTTGAGACTCTAGAAAGAGTACAGAGAAGAGCAACAAAGATATAATAATAATAAATAATAATAATAATAATACAAGATGCACTGAAATTAGTATATCAGGAAGGCTTACTGACTACTGGAGAGACCAAACTGGCCTACAAGAAAGACCAAATGAACAACAGAATAGAGGCATGGGAAGACAAAGCACTATATGGCCAATACATTAAAAAAAAATAGCTGGGAAAGCAGATCATAACAAAACCTGGCAATGGCTAAGAGCAGGAAAATTGAAGAAAGAGACCGAGGGACTAATTCTGGCTGCACAAGACCAAGCCTTAAGGACAAATGCATATAAAGTCAAAATTGAGAAGACAGCAACAGACAGCAAGTGCCGCCTATGCAAAGAAGCTGAAGAAACAGTGGACCACTTGGTAAGCTGTTACAAGAAGATTGCACAGACTGATTACAAGCAGCGGCATGACAAAGTAGCAACAATGGTGCATTGGAAGATCTGCAAAAAATATCATTTGCCTGTAAGCAAAAACTGGTGGGATCATAAAATAGAGAAAGTCATAGAAAATGATAAAATTAAACTGCTCTGGGACTTCAGAATTCAAACAGACAAGCACCTGCAACATAACACCCCAGACTTAACAATTGTCGATAAGAAAGACAAAAAAGTCTGGATAGTGGACGTGGCAGTGCCTGGAGACAGCAGAATAGACGAGAAAGAACTGGAGAAGATAACAAAATACAAAGACCTACAAATAGAAATAGAAAGACTGTGGCAAAAGCAAGCAAGGGTAGTACCAATAGTAATAGGCTCCTTGGGTGCAATCCCAAAACAACTGGAGCACCACTTGAACACCATTGGCATTGACAAATTCGCTGTTAGTCAATTGCAAAAGGCGGACTTACTAGGAACTGTTTCCATCCTGCGATGATACCTGTAATACCATCAAACATCCACATCTGCCTATCCCAGGTCCTGGGTAAGGACTCGATAGGTTGACAAAATGCCAAATCCAGTCTGAACATCTGGCTGACTGTGCGATGATCCTCAATAATAATAATAAAGTTGGAAGGGACCTTGGAGGTCCAGATCCTTCTGTATCTTAAGCCTGTCTTCTGGAGTGTTAGCTAGATGTTGAAGAGCACTGGGCCCAGAACAGAGCCCTGGGGCACCCCACTACACACTTCCCTCCATATAGATGCAGTTCCATTGAGGACCACTCGCTGAGTACGTCCGGTCAGCCAGCTACGAATCCATCTGGTGGTGATGCTATCTAACCCACATTTTTTTATCTTATCAAGTAGTAGATTGTGATCTAGTTTATCAAATGCCTTACTGAAGTCCAAGTAAATTATGTCCACAGCATTCCTCTGATCCACTAATTTTGTCACTTGTTCAAAGAATGCAATAAGATTTGTCTGGCATGATCTATTTTTGACAAACCCATGTTGGCTTTTGATGAGTTTCCATCTGTTGCTTCTTGTCCTGCCTTCAGGCGCTTTGGAGAATAGCTTGACTCCCTCTTCTTTGGGGCAACCCCTGAGATACTGGAACACTGCTATCATGTCCCCCCTTGTCCTTCTCTTCATTAAACTAGACATCCCCAATTCCAGCAACCATTCCTTATATGTTTTAGCTTCCAGTCCCCTAATCATCTTTGTTGCTCTTCTCTGTACTCTTTCTAGAGTCTCAGCATCTTTTTTACATCATGGTGACCAAAACTGGATGCAGTATTCCAAGTGTGGCCTTACCATTGTAAAATGGTATTAATACTTCACGTGATCTTGATTCTATCCCTCAGTTAATGCAGCCCAGCACTGTGTTGGCCTTTTTGGCAGCTGCAGCCCACAGCTGGCTCATATTTAAGTGATTGTCCACTAGGACTCGGAGATCCCTCTCATAGTTACTACTATTGAGCAAGATACCCCCTATACTATACCTGTGCATTTGGTTTTTCTTGCCTAAATGTAGAACCTTGCTTTTTTCACCATTGAATTTCATTTGTTAGATAGATTTTATTCAAGTCTGTCCAGATCCTCCTGTATCCTAAGCCTGTCTTCTGGAGTGTTGGCTATTCCTGCCAGCTTGGTGTCGTCCGCAAATTTGATGAATTCCCCATCTATCCCCTCGTCCAAATCGTTGATATAGATGTTGGAGAGCACTGGACCCAGAACAGAGCCCTGCCGGTCAGCCAACTATGAATCCATCTGGTGGTGATGCTGTCTAACCCACATTTTTCTATCTTATCGAGTAGTAGGTTGTGATCTACTTTGTCAAATGCCTTACTGAAGTCCAAGTAAATTATATCCACAGCATTCCTCTAATCCACTAATTTTGTCACTTGGTCAAAGAATGCAATAAGATTTGTCTGGCATGATCTGTTTGTGACAAACCCGTGTTGGCTTTTAGTAATGACTTTGTTTGCCTGTAGGTGTTCGCTAATTCGTTGTTTGATTATCTTTTCCAGAATCTTCCCAGGTATTGAGGTCAGGCTGATAGGTTTGTAATTTCCTGGATCCATTTTTTTCCTTTTTTGAAGTTGGGAACTAAATCTGCTCTTTTCCAGTCCTCTGGTAGTTCCCCTGTGCTCCAGGATCTTTGAAAAATATAGTTCAGTGATTCTGAGATCACATCTGCCAATTCCTTGAGAACCTTGGAGTGTAATCCATCTGGTCCTGGCGATTTGAACTCATCTAGGCTGGACAGGTGCTTACTTATCATTTTCTTGCCTATCTTAGCTTGTGTTTCTATACTGTTTTTTATGGCACTATTGATTAGGGGACTGGAGGCTAAAATGATTAGGGGACCGGAGGCTACAACATATAAGCAACGGTTGCTGGAATTGGGTATGTCTAGTTTAACGAAGAGAAGGATGAGGGGGGACATGATAGCAGTCTTCCAATATCTGAGTTGCTGCCCCAAAGAAGAACGAGTCAAGCTATTCTCCAAAGCGCCTGAAGGCAGGACAAGAAGCAACGGATGGAAACTCATCAAGGAGAGAAGCAACCTAGAACTAAGGAGAAACTTCCTGACAGTTAGAACAATTAACCAGTGGAACAACCTGCCTCCAGAAGTGGTGAATGCTCCAACCCTGGAAGCTTTTAAGAAGAAACTGGACAGCCGTTTGTCTGAAATAGTATAGGGTTTCCTGCCTGCGCAAAGGGTTGGACTAGATGACCTCCAAGGTCCCTTCCAACTTTATTATTATTATTACCGCAAGATACATGCTTTGTACGCCGCCCTGAGTCCTTTGGGATTGTGCGGCATATAAATATTTGAAAATAAATAAATGATGAGAGCGCGTATCGGACCATTGACAAAGATCCGATGACGTCACTCAGAAATCAACTTAGTAAGACAGCGGACAGACTCAGAAGGCAGAACAGAATTCTTGAAGAAGACCTGACAGCAACCCGACCCAAAGAATCGGCCATGGCTCGGATCTATGGACTGCTCAAGGTCCACAAGGCGGGGGTTTCCGTTACACTCTATTGTGTCATTCAGAGGCACCCCCAACTTTTGGTCTAGCTAAATGGCTGAGTGGGTGATTCCGGCATGTGGTTGAGGACACCACGACCACGATAAAATCCTCAAGAGGATTTCCTGGAACGATTGCAATCTATAAGGGTGGAGGAGGATGAAATTATGGTCTCTTTTGACCTAACATCTCTATTCACCTCCATCCCCCAAGATCTGGTTCTTTTTCATAATAAGGGGTTTGCTACAGAAGGAAGGGCCGCGACACCCCAATTCACCCAGTACGGAAGATTTCAGCCAGCTGCTGAGGTTCTGCCTCAGAACACACTTTACATTCCAGGGCACCATTTATGAACAGATAAAAGGCACGCCTACGGGGGCCCCCACTTCAGGAGTCATCGCTGAAGCCGTTCTGCCAGAACTCGAACACAAAGCGACGGTCGACTACCGACCCAAATTTGGGGTCAGGTATGTCGACGATACATTTACCATCATTAAATGCTGTGACAGTGTCAGGTTCATGGAGAAGTTGACCTCAATCTACCCGGACATCCAGTTCATGACGGAGGAGGAAATTAACAACACCCTGGCCTTCCTAGATGTGCTGATTTGTCGCCAATCTAATGGTACTGTTTCCACCGCTGTCTACCACAAGGCAACGCATACGGACCGGACTCTGCATAATGAGAGTAATCATCCCATTACACATAAGGTCAGCTGCATTCAAACTCTGTCCAACAGAGTTAACACCCATTGCAGCACACCACCAGTGAAGATTAAAGAGCGGGCATACCTCCATCGCAGACAGAGTGGGTATTCGGCGAGATTCATTCGACACTGTTGCAGACGTCAGGAACCACGATTAATCCGTGACAGGCTGACCACCATGGCTTGGGCAACGCTTCCCTACATTAATGGCATATCCGAAGCGACCGCACGGATACTTGCGTCCCATAATATCAATGTGGCACACAAGCCCAGCCAGACCCTGCGCGCAAGAGTGACGCGCCCAAAGAGACCGCTACCTACAGGCGATATGTCATTGGTAGTCTATAGAATCAGCTGTAACGATTGCCGTTGCAATTACATTGGGGAAACCGCTAAACGTCTCCGGACTAGAGTCCACGAGCACAAGTTAGCGGTTAGACGTCACGAACAACATTCCCAGATATGGGTGCACACAGCCAAGAATGACCACATGTTTGATTTTGTGGGGGCTGAGGTCATCGCCCAAGACTCCATCAAAGGCAGCCGCTTATTAAAGGAAGCTTGGCTATCGGATCGATACTCGACTAATCGACACGTGGAGCTGTTACCGGCGTATCAAACATTGAGAAGGCACGAACAGCTGCGCAGAGAATTGGAGCGGGCGAATTGTCTACCATCTTCTTGCCGCACGAGCAGGAACACGAAAAGCTCGGTCGCTTACCCATTGCCACAATGAGCGGGGGGGAGGAAGCACCAGCGGAACCCACCGCAAGACTAAAAGAAGGACAGCAAATCAACACGACCGAGACGAATCATACGGCGAGAGGATCGGCAACAGACATAGCTGCGTGGCAGATTGACGGCATGGCCGGACGGGATGATAGGGGGAGCGATCTGGCAACGCCACCGAACAGCTGTGTGCTACAGAATGGACATGATCAACAGGACGGGGGGGGGGGGAAGGGAAAAGGTCAAAACCGAAGCGAATAACTGGCGTACGGGGCAAAACTAGGAGCAATACGACCAGCTGCGGGAGAACGAGGGGCGGGTAGACCGGTTACGGCAGGGGTGTCAAACTCAATTTCACTGAGGGCCACATCAGCATTGCGGTTGCCTTTGGGGGGCCAGGGGGCTGTGGCCAGAGTGGGTGCAGCCTACTGGTTGGGTGTGGATGGAATGGGTGTGGCCTACTGGGTGGGCGTGGCCAGTTCTACATCATTCCTGTCAAGGGTGCCTGTGGGGGCCTGGGCAGGAGTGGGACAGATCTGAGGGTTTCTGGAAGAAGGGGGTGGGACTAGGGCAAGTGCCAAGGCATGGTCCACTGGAGCAAGTGCCAAGATGGCCACCACAAAATTGTACATTGGCTCCCGGCTGGCCTGGGCCAGGGCCAAGGCAGCGGGGGTCGTTCCCTCACTGTTTCCAGGATGGCTTCGCGGGCCACATGAAATCACTTCGCGGGCCGCATCCGGCCCCCAGGCCTTGTGTTTGACATGTCTGGGTTACGCGCTCTGTGACCAAACATAGCTACGAAAGCAGGTTCTTCCAGCCATTAGCTCTTACTTTTGACAACGACAACAGTGGATTGACGAAAGCTCAGTGATTAAAAAGGTTTTTTTCTTTATCTCGGAGATCAGCAGCTTTATTGGATTTTAAATACATACATACATACATACATACATACATACATACATACATACATACATACATACATACATACAGGCTGCCTTCAGATTATCTGCTGCACAATGGATCCTGTCTTTTTCTTCTTCGCTTCTGTTAATCTGCCTCTCCTCCTTCTCCTTAGGTCCAAGCAGCAGCCTTGGATGAGATGTTTCAGCAGACTGAAGACATTGCTTACCGGTACCACAAAGCCGCATTGCTGTTGGAAGGCCTAGCGAAGATTTTGCAGGACCCAGCTGACATTGACAACATAAATCGCTGTAGGTGCTACTTTTATGAGTCATGTAAAACTGCCATCATATATTATGGTTAATTTATGTATATAGAATAGAGTAGAACTAAGGGAATTAATAGAGTAGAGTAGAATAGGAATAGAATAGAATAGAATAGAAATCTTTATTGAAAATAGAATAGAAAAGAAAAGAGAATAGGAAAGAGTAGAGTAGAATACGAAAGAATAGAATAGAATAGGAAAGAATAGAAGAATAGAATAGAAGAAGAATAGAATAGAATAGGAAAGAATTAGGATAGGATAGGATAGGATAATAATAGAATAGAATAATAATAGAAGAATAGAATAATAATAATAGAAGAATAGAATAGAATAGGAAAGAATTAGGATAGGATAGGATAGGATAGGATAGGAAAGAATAATAATAAAATAGAATAATAATAGAATAGAACAAAACAAAACAACAGGATAGGATAGAATTGAACTGAATTCTTTATTGGCCCTGTGCGATTGGACACACACAAGGAATTTGTCTCCAGTGCCTAAGCTTTCGGTGTATATGCAAGCCACAAATCATGATTATAATCCCAAAACATTCATCATGAATCCTAAGATATAACGCTCCCTGATGGTACCTCGGCGAACCTTACCTTGTATCCTTCTAAACCTTTTCGAGATTTTTCAAGATTTTGCTCACGTAGCCCAGAGCAGGCTGCCACGCGGAGCAAGCATTTGTCACACGCACGCCGATGTCTTCATGCCTTTTTTTTTTTACCCTTTGTTTTGTTTTTCAGATAAAGCTAATATTGAAAGAAGACTGTCTGCTCTTTGTTGCAACGCCGTCGCTGTCTACGAATAGAAAACCCCTCTTTGCCCTACTCCCCGGGACCACTCAGCGTAGCCAGAAATCTTCTCATTTCCCATCCCAAAGGAAAGCTGGCTTATATCAAAGGAGAGAAGAAAAAACAATTCACGAAACAGGGGGGAAAAATGCAAATAATGTTGGGAGGAAAAAAAATTGTCCTTGGACAAGCATTGTGCCCATCTTTCCTTTCACAGCCAGACGGGCGAAGACTATTTATACGATCTCCACCGCCGTTTTTGATCTTGGCATGGAAACGCTTCCCCGTCTTCGTAGATTACAAGAGGACGGAGGAAGGATCCTTCTGCAGGATTCGCCCCCCTCCCCCCAAATTTGGTTCCTGCCTTTGGGAAACGGGTGGACGTCTACTTCGTGGGACAAAACTGAATGAAGGCGACCCTTCGTTCGGGCTGGACTTCCGTTCTGGGAAGCACGGGCGGCAAAGATCCCTCCACCTCAAGCCGTCGGGAACCCGGATTAATTTTGCAAAAAATATATATATATGCACATGTATTAAATAACCGAAAAGGAAAAGGACAGACTTTTATTGAATCGAACCTTTAGCAACCGTAGACGCACGACCTTGATGATCTTCCCGATCCCTCTCGCCCAAATACTTTATATTGCACTAATTTACTAAACTGTGTTATCAGTGGGGTGTTTTTATATATATATATATATATAATTAAAAAAAAAACAATTACAGAAAAGGCACAACTATCCATTCTTCCTGGCGGGGCAGAGACTGCCCCGCCAGGAAGAATGGATTATTGACTCGTTGAGATGCAGGAGAAGAAAGAACGTCGTCTCGTCCCCCCCCCCCCCAAAAAAAAAACCCTCCTGAATTTTTTTCAACCTGCAGCTTCGTTAGGAGACGTTTCGAAGTCGTGTAGATGTGTCGTAAGGTGAATTCTTTCATTTTTTTTTTAATAGCCTTTTATCTAATACTTGAGTAATCGTCTGGAGTGGTGTTTCTCAATCGTCTCGACTTTGAAAAGAGGTGGGGACTTCAACTCCCAGAATTCTCCAGCTAGCTGTAGCTGGCTGGGGAATTCTGGGAGTTGAAGTCTTTACACGTCTTAGCATGGCTGAGATGGAGAAAAACTCACTTTGGGTAACATTCTGACATGGTTTCCTGCCCTGTCCTATATATCAAGGCTTGCTTGATTGCTTAATTCTTCGGTTGCATGCCACGTTGTGTCCCTCCTTAAACCAGAGGTCAAAAAAAAAAATTAGACACAGCTGCCACAGCTGGTTGGAACAGGGTGTTTTTTGTAGCAGAAGTTTTTTTTTAAAAAAAGATAAAAAAAAATAGCAAAGCATTAAGAAATAATTATAATCAGGTTTATTTGGAGCAGCTTTTGAGGAGTTCTCGTCTTCCCTCCCCTATCCTTTGTTCAACTTGAAAAGTTCTTTTTGAGAAATCCAAAATTTCATAGCTAGTCCCCTCTTTAGCTTCTAAGAGGTTTTCTTAACTGCCATCATCATTTGAAAGGCGGAAAAATAATAGCTTGTTTATAACGGGATCATTTCAATCTTTTTTTTTTTTTTTTTTTAAAGTCAAACCTCTCTGGATGGACGTTGATGGGCATTTCAGCCTCATCCACTTTTACGGAGCGTGAAGAAAATGTGTTTTGTGTGTGCGTGTTTTTCCTCTCCTTTTTCCCTCCCCCCCCCAATACTTTTATTTATCAGCACAAGCAATTTTGGAAGTTGATTTTGAAAGTGTTTTTTTTTCTTTTTCTTTTTAATTTATACGACGTTTGTATTTTTAGATCTTTAATACCGTGTTTCTACTACTACCTCTCCTTTGTAACTGCATGCGTTTACTTCTCAACCCGTAGTGTAACAACTGAAGAGAGAAACCCTGTTGATAACTTTTATTATGGCCTGTATAAATGTATATTAAAGTTCAAAAACAAACAAACGAGCGAAACAATAATAAACTGACACTCAGATGTTCCTATATAATATATAAGGTTTAACCGTCGGATTCCAATCAAGGTGTTGCCGTTTGTCCAACCAAAAAAAAATAATAATAAATCAGTTAGCCTAAGGAAGAGGGCATCAAAATAAGACCTGCCCCAGGAAGGTTTGGGTCTGATTATGGGATGGTGAATTGAAATTAAACTTTCACAGAAGGAACGGTGGGATCCTTGATGCTTTCTGAGCTGGATGGTTCCTTTGCAGACATTTCATCATCCAACTAGGTAACATCATCAGTGCTAGAAGGGAGTGGTGTTTGTGAGAGGAGAAGGAGGAAGACTATGGGGTCCTCCATGCTTTCTAAGCTTGGTGGTTTCCTTGCAGACATTTCATGACCCAACTAGGTAACATCATCAGTGCGAGAAGGGAGGAGGAGGACTGTGAGGTCCCTGATCTTCTCTGAGCTTGGTGGTTTTCTTGCAGACATTTCATGACCCATCTGGGTAATGCCATCAGTGCTAGAAGGGAGTGGGGTTTGCAGAAAGGAGGATGACTGTGGGGTCCCTGGTACTCTCTGAGCTTGGTGGTTTTCTTGCAGACGTTTTACGACCCAACTCGGTAACGTCATCGGTGCTAGAAGGGAGTGGGGTTTGCTCTCTGTTTACATGCAAGCATACAGGAAAAGCCACTCCCAATAAAGGGGAATATTTGTAGCTGAGGGTTGAAGTGAGGGGTCCTTGGTGCTCGCTGAGCTTGGTGGTTTTCTTGCAGACGTTTCGTTACCCATTTGGGTAACATCATCAGTGCTAGAAGGGAGTGGGGTTTGCGGAAAGGAGGATGACTGTGGGGTCCCTGGTACTCTCTTGAGTTTGGTGGTTTTCTTGCAGATGTTTCATGACTCATCTGGGTAACCTGGTCAATGCTAGGAGGGAGGGGGAGGGGGAACAAGAGGAGGGGGTGTCCTGGATGCTCTCTGAGCTGGGTGGTTTTCCTGCAGACGTTTCATGACCCAACTAGGTAACATCATTAGTGCTAGAAGGGAAGAGGAGAATTAGGGAGTCCCTGGTGCTCTCTGAGCTGGGTGGTTTTCCTACAGACGTTTCATGACCCCACTAGGTAACATCATCAGGGCTAGAAGGGAGGAGGAGGAAGGCAAGGAGGAGAAGGAGAAACAAGAAGAAGAAAGAGGAGGAGGCAGACTGTGGGGGTCCTTGGTGCTGTCTGAGCTGCGTAGTTTCCTTGCAGACGGTTCATGACCCAACTAGGTTATGTCATCTGTGGTAGAAGGGAAGGAGGGAGGAGGAGGAAGAGGAGAAGGAAGAAGAAGAAGAAGACAATGACTGTGGGGTCCTTGGTGCTCTCTGAGCTGGGTGGTTTCCTTGCAGATGTTTCATGACCCAACTAGGTAACATCACTAGTGGTAGAAGAAGAGAGAAGGGTTTGCTCTGCTTATATATAGGCAATTTGCCCTGTCAGTATTTGGGGGGGGGGGAAGTGGTCTTGGTGTTCTCTGAGCTGGGTGGTTTTCTTACAGACGTTTCATGACCAAACTAGGTAACATCATCAGGGCTAGAAGGGAGGAGGAGGAGGAGAATTATGATGTCCCTGGTGCTCTCTGAGCTGGGTGGTTTTCTTGCAGACGTTTCATGACCCCACTAGGTAACATCATCAGACCTAGAACGGAAGGAGGTTTGCGGAGAGGAGGACTGTGGAGTCCCTGGTGCTCTCTGAGCTGGGCGATTTCCTTGCAGATGTTTCATGACCCAACTAGGTAACATCACTAGTGGTAGAAGAAGAGAGAAGGGTTTGCTCTGCTTATATATAGGCAATTTGCCCTGTCAATATTTTTTTTGGGGGGGGGTGTTCTTGGTGGCTCCTTGACTAGGTGGCTGTTAACATTGTAATGCACCCATTGAACTAGCGGTCGGAAGGCATGAGGAGCACTCCTTAATTTCCCAACACGTGGACGTACCTCGCGACAAATTCACCGGGAAACCGTTGGCATCCTTATAGAATTACAGAATAACAAGAGTTGGAAGGGACCTCGGAGGTCATCTAGTCCAACCTGCAGCTCAGGCAGGAGAATCGTAGAACGCCCGAGTTGGAAGGGAACTGGGAGGTCATCCAGTCCAACCCCCTGCTCAGGTAGGAAACTCTAGTCCAGTGGTTCTCAACCTTTTTAATGCCGCGACCCCCAACCAGTCGTAAGTCGAGGACTACTCAACCGGTCGTAAGTCGAGGACTACTCAACTGGTGCAGCACCGTTTGCAGAATGGGGCTTTTGGTGGGCTCAGCAGGGCAGAGACAGCCTGGACAATTCCTATTGGCTTTTGAAAGCCAATAGAATTAGACTCTATTCAAGAGAGTCTATTCTATTGGCTTTCAAAAGCCAATAGAATAAAAGGGAGTAGCATAGCTAAGGAAAAGGGGGGGGGAAATGGCGGACTGCGTTGTTTGGCGACCCCCGTGAAATGGTCGTTCGACCCCAAATGGGGTCCCGACTCACAGGTTGAGAACCACTGCTCTAGTCCATTGGCCGGGAGGGAGCCAATGCACAATTTTGTGGTGACCATCTATGCTGAAACACATTCAGTCTTAGCTCCACAAGGCCATGTAGAAACAGCGAGGAACCAGCCCCTGCCGTGTCGGCCCCGTCCCCTGGGTGCATGCTGGGGAGGGGTCGCCCTTTGTGAGGAATGAAGAAATGCACCATCGCTTGGAAGTGGCCAGCAAATGGCCCTCACCTACTTCATCTATCCGGCTTGCCTTGGCACTTGCCCCGGTCCCCCCCCCCTTCTGCCAGAGACCCTCAGATCTGCCCCACTCCTGCCCAGGCCCCCACAGGCACCCTTGACGCGAACGATGTAGAACTGGCCACGCCCACCCAGTAGGCCACACCCATTCCATCCACACCCACCCAGTAGGCCACACCCATTCCATCCACGCCCACCCGGTAGGCTGCACCCCCCCAGGCAACCGCAATGCTGATGCGGCCTGCAATGAAATTGAGTTTGACACCCCTGGTATAGAGTTTCCTGCCGGAACGGGGCTGGGCTAGATGACCTCCAAGGTCCCTTCCAACATCATCATTATTATTATTACACCCACCCTTCTTCCAGATGCCAAGACTGGGAAAACCCTAATCTAGGTGCATCTTCCAACCAACGGCATAAGACCGCCGGCCCCACCAATTCCCACGGCTTTTTAGACGACGGATGATGACTCAGCCAAGCAAATAAATTCACAGTTTGTCTTGTTTCGGCAAAGCTATCTTTGATCTGCTTGAGCAATTCTTAATTTGGACCAGGCCAGCCCAACATAATTAGCCTAACCATAATCAAAAGCAAAATAAAGCCGATGCCAGATGCTGGTCTGTTTGCTCAATGTGCAAAGCAGATTGCTGCATTCGAAAGGAATCGAAAGCGAGATAAACCCTAGAGATGATTAGCTTTATTCCAGCCTCGAATTAAACCGGTTGAGCGTTAAAACCTGTTTGATCAGATCATCTACCCGACGGGAATCTTCCCCCTCTAAATTGGCTAGGCTCAGCCGGGCACCTTCCCAATAACTTTTGAGATAATAACTCCCAGAATTCCCCGGGAAGAGAAGCATGGGAAGCGAATTATACGGCCCTGCCTGTTTAAGCTCATTTAGGAAGGGCGGTGATGCCCTTTAAGGCAAACGCCTCCGGACTGGCGCCTGGAACGCGCTCCCAAATAATCCAAGGGTTTGCATTCTCCACGGTTTCCAAATTTCACTTTGCGTTCGGTTTTGTTTGTTTGTTTCACACCAGGAAAGCCAAGTTCACCTCTTGCCAAGTTAAATGGGCTTCAATGGCCTTCTTGCTGGTCCCTTTGAAATGGTTATAGCCTTAGAATTTCAAATCTTTAGTCTTCAAAGAGCTTTCGTATTTTAATTTCTAGTCTGAATATCAGTGGAGATTCTCAGTCATCCAGATCATAGTTGTCCCAAAAGGTGCTTTTTCAAGAGGCAACTGGATGTCCCAGTTAGAACACAAAGGTGAGTTGAAGTCCCTTTAAAGGAGTAGAGTAGAGTAGGGTAGGGTAGGGTAGGGTAGGGTAGGGTAGGGTAGGGTAGAGTAGAGTAGAGTAGAGTAGAGTAGAGTAGAATAGAATAGAATAGAATAGAATAGAATAGAATAGAATAGAATAGAATAGAATAGAATAGAATAGAATAGAATAGGAATAAGAATAAGAATTAGAATTAGAATTAGGAATAGAATAGAATAGAATAGAATAGAATAGAATAGAATAGAATAGAATAGAATAATGAATAGAATAGAATAGAATAGAATAGAATAGAATAGAATAGAATAGAATAGAATAACAGAGTTGGAAGGGACCTTGGAGATCATCTAGTCCAACTCCCTGCTGGAGCAGGAGACCATTCCAGACAAATGCCTGTCCAATCTCTTCTTAAAAACCTCCAGTGATGGAGAAGGAAGGAAGGAAGGAAGGAAGGAAGGAAGGAAGGAAGGAAGGAAGGAAGGAAGGAAGGAAGGAATAACAGAGTTGGAATGGACCTTGGAGGTCATCTAGTCCAACCCCCTGCTCAGGCAGGAAACCCTATGACGAGATGACCTCCAAGGTCCCTTCCAATTCTGTTCTTCTGCTCTATTATTCTGTTTCAGAGCGGTCGAACGACAGCAAGTGGGGACCTCCGAAAAGCCAGGCCCCGCACAACCTTTTCCCCAGAAGTGTAACCGGATCCTTAAAAAAATTGTGGCAATCAGAACAGCTTTTGTTTTTTATTTTTCTTAGTGAAAAATCAGCTTTCCATTCCCTCTGTCGAGCAAGTCAAAAGAAAAGAAACTCACAGAAAGAAAAAAAAAACCAACAGCTGAAAGACTCAAGATTTATTTTTATTTTTTTCCAGGTTCTTTACTTTCTTTAGTTCGTCTCGTTTTCCCGTGTGCGTGCAAGGAGGGTGTGTTTTGACATGCCTGGTGTTTTCATGAGAATACGGTACAGTCCTGGGCTCGGATCCAAATTTGATGCATTGGGAAGGCAGGCAAGCTGC